AAGAAAGAAAGAAAGAAAGAAAGAAAGAAAGAAAGAAAGAAAGAAAGAAAGAAAGAAAGAAAGAAAGAAAGAAAGAAAGAAAGAAAGGTGAAGAGTATTGCATGGTGACCATCCAAGGCAGGGCATCACTCTGACTGCTAACAGGCTGTTTGTTCATTTACTCAGAGATCCATCATTCATCCCAGAATTCAAACAGGAAAAAGAAGAGGGATGGAGATGGGTGGACAAATGGGACTTCAAACTGAGTCTAGAACCCTGTCTGCTGGCGCTGGTGGCATCTGGGATGGGAAGGAAGATGGGGAGGGAACAGACCACCATGGTAGGAGTGAATAGGGAGTGGCAGAGGGTAGAGAAGGTAAGAAAGGGGGCAAGTTTTTCAGAAATTCCTTCCCTGGGGAGATATAAACAACGTCTGATCCCTCCTTATGAGATCACAACAACAAACTAAAATATGATTTCACCGAAGATCACCCTGGGGAATGCACAAGTGTATTGGGCTTACAGAACATGAGTGGAGTTGCCTAGAGCAGTGAGGGTGAACCCCAAAGTAGCTGAACTGGAAAGTCTTCACCTAACATGAAGATGGCTTCCCCACATCACTGTAGACGGTACCCATCTCAGTTTACCTCCCAAGCCTACATTCCAGCACCTTCCAAGACGTTGAAGCCATGTGTAATTGGGGCAATTCCCACATACAAACATCTGGGGAAAGCTGCTGGAATCTCAGGTGGCCTCCTCACCCCTCCTTCTATGAGAGAGTATCAACAGTGAGCCCATTCCTGGTGGCCTCTTGCAAGTAGACACAGCTGATCTGAGGAAGACAGTGGCTGCTCTGCTCAGAGCACCACGTTCTGCAAAGGCAAATCAAGCAAAAGACAGGACTTGGCAAAGCTTGGGCTCCAGCTCTCAAAGGTTCGGTTTTCATCTAGGCTGCCAAACATAAACTTAACTTACTTAAAACATAAGATTTTTATGTGCAGATGTGATTTTCTTTAGTAACTTGATTGTGCAGTTTGCAAATATAATGACAAGTTGTGTCAAAAAATTGGACATGTCTCATGTGACTGAGGGTCTTGAATCGTAGGGGACATAGATACATAATCCATAACATCTGCGTATTGACTACATACCAGATTTCCCAGAAGACTCTGGTTTCGAACACACCAAGTCAACATCTATTCTTCTGCCCAACTCACCCACCTTACTCGCCAAGCCCTCTATTCTCTATTCCCAGGCAGCTGTTGTCTTAGCCAGTTACTACTGCTGTGATGAAACACCATGACCAAAAACAACTTGGGAGAGCCGGGCGGTGGTGGCACATGCCTTTAATCCCAGCACTTGGGAGGCAGAGGCAGGTGGATCCCTGTGAGTTTGAGAACAGCCTGGGCTACAGAACGAGTTCCAGGACAGGCTCCAAAGCTACACAAAGAAACTCTGTCTCGAAAAAACAAACAAACAAAAAACAAAAAACAAAAAAAAAAAACTTGGGGATTAAAGGGTTTATTTGGCTTACACTTCCACATTGCTGTTCATCACTGGAAGAAGTCAGGACAGGAACTTAAACAGGGCAGGAACCTGGGGGCAGGAGCTGATGCAGAAGCCATGGAAGGGTGCTGCTTACTGGCTTGCTTCCCATGGCTTGCTCAGCCTGCTTTTTTATAGAACCCAGGACCAGCAGCCCAGGGATGGCACCACCCACCATGGGCTGGGCCCTCCCCCATTGATCACTAATTTAAAAAATGCCCTCAAACTTGTCTACAGCCTGATCTTATGGAAGAAGTTTCATAATTGAGTTTCCTTCCTCTCAGATGACTTTAGCTTGTGTCAAGCTGACATGAAACTAGCCAGCACAGATGTGAGCAGGTCCAGGGGACTTTTCTGTTACAGTGAGGAAGTCATGGATGGATTTGCAGGTCAAATCTTAAACCTGCACGCCCTATGATTACCTTCTGAAAAGTTAAGAAGCCAACGGACTCATTACCTTTAGCTTTAAGGAATTGGCCAACTCTTCACTTTCTTTGTTTGCTATGGAGAGAGCATCAGAGATCTGTCTCTTAATGAGTCCCTCAGCTGATGGGTGTCAGGCTGCACCACCCCTGCAGAGCAAGCATTACACAGTCCCCAGCCCCAACCAGCTGCCATGCCTCCTGTCAGAAGGCTGAGACCGCAAAACAGCAGGAAACTGCCCTCGCCAACCACAAAGCATCTGCCTGTCATAGGGCAAAGGGATCTAGAGCCGTTTCAGAGCTGCAGGAAGCCGGGAGATGCTCAACCTTCCAGATCATAAAAGCTCCATCTATACCAGAAATCTGAGAAAAAACCACTGACAGCGTTTCTCAGTAAAGTCTGGGGAATTATTCAGATGGAACCTCTAATGTCCTGGGAGGCTACTCTGAGATCTGGGCCTGAAGTAATGGCCTGTATTATGAAGAGCACATACAGACAACTGAGTCTATTTCACTGCTACTTCTGCCCTCCTTGATGGTGTCTCTAGACAAGTCCAACATGGCTGAGCACAGGCTGTAGGATGCTGCACAGTCAGGAGCTGGTCTGCTCAGCCATCCACACATGAAGTCATTTGAATTCTACACGAGCAGGCAGCCACAGGGCACGTTTGTGTCTTCTTGCTACTTCAGTGACAGCTGTAAACCTAAGAGAAGCTTAGGACCTCGGGAGGAAGATTAAATCAATCACACTTCCAGTCATTCTTTCAGATGACAGGACAAGAATGGACAACGGCCACCCTCACACACAGTGGTATGGACAATAGCCACCCTCACCTCAGTGGTGTGGACAACGGCCACCCTCACGCACAGTGATATGGATTTTGTTGTCATTTTTACTTTTTGCTTTTTTTTTTTATAGGAAGGTTTTTTTCCTTCTTCTTCACATTTATTTTACAGTGTTCTGTCTGCATGTGTCCCTGCAGGCCAGAAGAGGGCACCAGATCTCATTATAGATGGTTGTGAGCCACCATGTGGTTGCTGGGAATTGAACTCAGGACCTCTGGAAGAGCGGCCAGTGCTCTTAACATCTGAGCCATCTCTCCAGCCCTACTTTTTGCTTCTTTGAACATTAATTTAGTTTATTCAGAAGTGTCATGGTGTGTGGAGGTCAGAGGTCAACTTTTGTGAGTTGTTTCTCTCCTTCTACCCATACGGTCCCAGGGATTCAAGTCATACTGCCAGGCTTAGCAGCAAGTAGCCTTATCCACTGAGCTATCCCTGACCCTCTTTTGGTTGTTTTTAATTAGTAGTTTCTACATTTAAAGGCTGTTTCCTTTCTCTTCCAGAAACTGGAAAGATCTGATACCCCAGGCTCACATTCCAGGCTCACCTGTCATCAATGGCTGGAGTTAAGTAGCTACTGTTTACAACAGATGGGGTATGTGTGCCCCATGTTCAACCTGTTTTCCACTTTTTGAAAGATTTTTTAAGTTCTGTATTATGTGTATGGGTATTTTGCCAGCATGTGTATCTCTGCACCACATAGGTGCAGTGCCCTTGGAGGCTAGAAGAATAAGATCTCCTGGAACTGGAGTTACAGGTGGTCCTGAGCCACCATGTGGGTGCTGGATATTGAACCTGGATCCTCTGGAAGGGTGGCCAATATGCTCAACCACTGAGCTAGCTCTTCAGACCTGCTTTGTGGGCACTGTAGATGTGCACATTTGGAACCCTGTGTGTGAGACTGGATAACAACCCCCAAACATACCTGAAGTCTAGTCTCTGGAATTGGAGAAATTCACCTTCCATGGCAAAGGGGACTTTACAGGTATAATTATGTTAAAGATCTTGAAATGAGATGTCTTGAGATTTCCTGGTTGACTTTTTTTTTTTTTTTTTTTTTTTTTTTTTTTTTTTCTGGTTGACTTTTTTTTTTTTTTTTTTTTTGGCTAGCCATGAATTCTGCCTCCTAAGTTCCTGAGTACTGGACTTTGTCACATCTGGTTTCTGATTGACTATTAATAACTAGTGTCCTTAGAAGAAGGCTGGGCAGCATGACACATCCCAGCATTTGGAAGATCAGAAATTTAAGGACATCCTCGTTACATAGCAAGATAGAGGCCAGCTTGGGCTACATGAGTCCCTGTCTAAAAGAGGAAGGGTAAGAGTGTTTGAAATAATAAGGAATCAAAAGAAGCAGAAGTTAGAATGATGTGGCCATATAAACCAAGGAAAGCCAGCAGCCATTAGAAGCTAAAAGAAAGCCAGACAATGATGGCTCATGCCTTTAATCCCAGCATTCAGGAGGCAGAGGCAAGTGGATCTCTGAGTTCAAGGCCAGTCTGATCTACAGAGTGAGTTCCAGGACAGTGATGTCTGCACAGAGAAATCCTGTCACATCAAACAAACAAAAAGAAAGAGACAATTATTTTTGGAGACTCCAGAAAGAATAAGCCCTGTTCACACTTTGATGGTAGCCCTCTAAGCCTGGCTTCAGGCATCTAGCTTCCAAATCTGAGAAGAACTTACTACGGTTACTATTAGTTTTAGTCACCATTTTTGTGATCATTTGTTATAGCAGCAGTAAGGAACTCATACTGCCTGTTAACAAATGAATGCAACAAATACCCTGAATGCAGTGGGCAGGCCCTGCCCTCAAGGAACTTACACTCTAGCAAGAGAAGAAAAAAATGCCCACAACCATGGTGCTAATCAAGGCAGGACAGTCAAAGGCCACAGGAAGGAACATACCTGAGGAACTTTGAACCCAGGCGCAGAGAGTCCATTAGGAACATCCACGTTATTAGCATATGGGAGACACACACACACATATACTTGTTGAAGCATGACACTCTGCCTCAGCCCTGAGAGGCCTGGGGCAGGAGGACTTGGTGTGTGTGGAGGAGGGGACAGGAGCAGGCACTGCGCCCCTTACCTTGCCTGCTCAATGAACTCTGCCGCCTTTTCTGCATACATTCGCGCAAGGCCACTCAGGTTCACCGGCTGCTCCACGATGTTGAGGTTTTCATAGAGAGGAAGGGCCACATCTGTGTAACAGTCCCTCTCGGGGCTCCTGCGTGGAAAACACAGCGAGGGGAGCACTCATTTTCACATCCTAAATAGTCACAGAAAGCCTTAGTGCTGCGACACACACAGATGCAAAACACGAAATAGCTGGTCCCAAGGGATTCAGCAGATCAGTCATGGCTTTTCCCTTCCCTTTGAATAGACGCTTATGCTCCTTGGATGAGCCAGCCACCCTGTAAAACTTGACGAGATACTTCTGAGCCTGGGACATTACAGTTCCCATTTTGCAGAGAGAGACACTGAGGTCTGAACAGGTTAGCCCCATACATAGCCCACCAGCACTCCCACAACTGGTTCTCTCCACTGTCCCGCCTCAGTGATAGTATGTATGGTGAGCAACACTGGGTACCGCGGGTGCCGTCCCTGACCAGGATTTCATGCGAGGGGGGGTGGGGTGGGGATCTGATAATAGGGCGGACTGTATCAGATGGCCTTGGGTGGTTTTAATTTTGAACCATGTTTGAAAAGTTTGAAGAAACTGTGTAGCATTGAGTACAAAAAAAAAAAGGAAATCAGAAGGCTACCAGTTCTTGGTGAAAACCAATTCTACCTTAGGAGGGTAAAGTCAACCTGACCGGCTGCTGCCTTGTGGCTGTACACCTCCTCCCTTGGCCACGATCTGGAATAAGTTACCTTCACTCCTGGACTTTACCCCTGTCTAGAATAAGGTCACCTGTGCCCCTCACAGGGGATGCCTGGAGGACAAATGGTAGCTCTCTGCCCTGGTCATCACCAAGAAGTGGGCGAAAGGACAGAAGTCCTGCAGCATCACACATGGCCTCCGGAGGACAATTGGAGAGGGCCGGGGACATAGGAAACTCCGCTCCACCTCCGTGCACATCTCCCTGCTGGAGAAGGCATCGAACAGAGGAAATCATTGCCAAACACTTTTTTTTCTTTTTTCTTTTTTTTTAGGAAGCCACTGCAGCTGAAAAGATGGCTCAGCGGTTAAGACCACATGTTGTTCTTACAGAGGACCCAAGTTCAGTTCCCAATACCCACAGGAGGCGGCTCAAGACCACCTGTAATTCCAGCTCCAGGGATCTGACACTGGCCTCTTTGGGCACCTCCTTTCACATATACAAACCTACACACAGATGCACACACACATACACAAAAATAAATCTTTACAAAAATAAAAAGTTGTTATGATGTTGGCTCGGTTATTCTGTATTGTTGCTGGAATGTTCAGCTTTTTATTGCCTTGATAGAATTTCACTGCCATTCCAAGTCTACGCCAATGCTTTCAATTCTGTTTTATTGTAATATAGATTAATGGTGAGAGAAGGAATGGGGGTGGGGAGAAAGGGAGACATTGGTTGAGATATCTCATGCCATTGTATGGCCACATGGGATTGTGGGTGTGACCCCCCAGGCCACACACAGCTGTGTAAGAAAGGCACCAAGACACGCCCCAGCCTTTCACACTGTCACCTGCCATCTTACTAAGCACAGACTGGGGAGGGGGTCTGTTTCTTCATGTCCTATGTGCACCCAGGTGATGATATCCACAACGCTGGTCCAGCAACCATGCACTGAGAAGCAAACCTGGAGGACATGGCCCTGGACTCAGACTGGAATCCGGGTTCTTATCTCCCGCCGTCCCTGGTGTGACCCAGGCAAGGCAAACTGGTCCCGTGGATTACAGGCAAGGGTGAGGAGTGCCCAGAATGTAACAACTTCTCAATAAATAACCATTTTTATATTAACTATTCTGTGATTAATGAGGCAGTTGAGACGTTCCCCAGGCAGTTGAGACACCTGTGGCCCAGGGAATAACTACTGGGGAGGCTCTGACAGGGAGGAGCACGGGACCAAGCCAGTTTGTTACCTCAGTAAGGCTTAGCAACTCTCTCTCTCTCTGTCTCTCTCTCTCTCTCTCTGTGTCTTTATCTGTGTATGTCTCTCTCTGTCTGCCTCTCTGTCTCTGTCTCCACTCATCTGTGTATGTCTTTCTCTCTCTCTTTCTCCCTGTCTCTCTCTGCCTGTGTCTCCCTCTCTGTCTCTGTATCTCTCATTTTCTTTGTCTCTGTCTCTCTCTGTGTCTCCCCTCTCTATCTCTGTGTATATGTCTTTCTCTTTCACTGTCTCCCTCTCTCTCTCTCTCTGTTGTCTTTCTCTCTCTCTCTCTCTCTATATATATATATATATATGTATATATATGTATATATATATATATATATATATATATATATATATTCTTTCTGTCTCTGTGTCTCCCTCCTCTGTCTCTGTATATGTATAGCAGTCCTCTCTCTCTCTCTCTCCCTCTCTCTCTCTCTCTCTCTCTCTCTCTCTCTCTCTCTCCCCATGTCTCAAGTCTGGGCCAGGGAAAGTCTAGGAGCAAAGCCAGCAGGCAGAGGAGGGAGGCCCCACCTGTGTGAGATCTTGGCAGACACAGGCTCTCCCCAGGTGAGCTAAACAATTCAGAGATTCTGGAAAATTCCAACAGGAAAAAAAATTATAATTCCCATCTTTGCATTGGGGCATAAATTAAAAAAACCTTTTGCCCTGAATGCATTCTTTATCTTGTGTGCTACCTCAACTGTCCACGTCTGTCTCACTCACTTATTCTAGAACTGCAGTCTCCACTTTGACTTAAAGCTCACAGTCAATGCATGGTACATTCTTACCTCCATAGGCCATCGCTCTGGGGACATGCTGGACAAGGAGGGTGGTTGTAGCCGGGGGTGTCAGTACAGCCCATGTCATGGCTGTATGGGATTCCAAAGTAGTAATCAAAACCTGGAAGAGGGGCAACAGGTTAGCACCCCCACTCACTGCTGCTCAGCACGCCTGCCCTCTCACACGCACAACAAAATTTAATTTCCTGTGATTTAATATTACGGTGCTCTAGAGTGTGTAATTAAAAGAGGATTTGATTAATATCCCTTTGAAGTATGCAAAGAAAATCACTTTGCGGGGTGCTGGCTGTAAGACTAGCTTTGTGAAATGTCTTGTGATGAAAGTTAGCCTAGATTAGGAGGAAGTACCAAGAATTGCTGACCATCTAACATCCTCTAAAGTTATGAATACATGTGGTAAGTACTTGATTTAAAAAGAAAAAAGAGATCCACTGCATACATGGTAGTTTAAGGGATCAAAATTCTGCTCTTGGGAAGCTTTCTATGTGGGGCCACTAAGATGGTTCCGGGGGTAAAGATCCTTGCCAACAAGCCTAATGATGTGAGTTCAGTCTCCAGAACTATATGGTAGAAGGAGAGACTTGAGTCCCAAGAGTTGTCTATTGTGGACTATTTGTTTAACAATGTAAAGATGTGTTCCATTGCCTGCCTAAGGCATCTGATTGGTCTAATAAAAAGCTGACAGGCCAATAGCCAGGCAGAAGAGGGATAGGCGGGGCTGGTGGGCAGAGAGAATAAGTAGGAGGAGAAAAAGGGGAGGGAGAACAAGGGAGAAAGAAAGGGAGATGCCTGGGCCAGTCAGCCAGGCAGCCACCAGTCAGACAGACACAAAGTAGGACAAACAGAATGAAAGAAAGGTTAAAAAAAAAAAAAAACCAAAAAAAAAAAAAACCTGGAGCAAAATGTAGATGAAGAGAAACAGGTTAATTTAAGTTATAAGAGCTAGTAGGACAAACATAAGATAAGGCCGAGCATTCATAATGAATAAGAAGTCTCTGTGTCATGATTTGGGAGCTGGTTGGTAGTCCAAAAGAAAGCATGTTACAGTTGTCCTCTGTCCACCCCCCACATGCACGCTACAGCACACACGTGTGTATGCACACACAAAATTAAAGTAATATAACATTTATAACAAAGAAAATAAGGTATTTTAAGCCATGAGAAGTGGATGAGTCAGGCATAATCCCAGCATAATGGAGGATGAGGTTGAAGGAGCCTGAGTTTGGGGCCAGCCTGGCCTATGTACTGAAATCTTGGCTCACCACGAGAAGGGTCAGAGGAGGAAGATATTCCCAGATGCAGTGGGTGGGGTGGACACAGCAATAACATCTCAACACGCCTCCTAAAGAATGAGTGTCTGAGCCAGGACTTCAAAGGCTGGGAGGTGGGATGGGCTGCAGGAAGAATGTGAATGCTGACACCCAAACTCTCTGTGTCCGTGTTTTCTGTCATTGTCCCTCAGCCCGTCTCTTCTCCAGCTCAAGCTCCAAACTGGGCCTGACAAGCAGGGAGGGTGCCTTGCCTCTTCAGCCCCTGCATGTGCCTCTGGCCTGCTCCATTGGCACATTTCCTATCCCGTTTCTCACGTGACTCGTACTCTGGAATGCCAGTGGCTTGCCTGGAATCGCCTGCTCTGCAGCTCTTACTAGTGAAGCTAGAGAGAAGCAGTCCCGCAGAGATCTAGTGCAGTTCCCATAAAATGCCCCTCTCCTCACCACCTCCTGCTAGCCCCTCCCTCTTTCTTTCTCGTAGTCCATCCACAGCCTTTAGACTCTGCCAGCCTGAATGACAGGCTCTTCCCCTTCGCACTGCATTCCTTAAGCTGGAACAGTAGACAGACCCTCATCGACCAATAGGAGGTTTACATCTCATTTAGCTTTAACTGTCAACCTGACATAGCTTAGAGTGACCTGAGAAGGGGGAGGGGTCTCAATGAAGGGACCTCCCAGATCAGACTGGCTCGTGAGTATGTTGCCAAGCAACTGTCTTCTATGCTCATGGATGTAGGAAGACCCAGCCCACTGTGGGCAGCACCATTCCCTAGGCAAGGCAGGTAGTTTCAGGCTACAGCTAACTAAACACAGGTCTGTTTAGACTTTAAGGTCCTGCTTTGACTCTCTTCGATGACGAACTATGACCTGGAAGTGTGAGCCAAATAAACCCTTTTCTCCCGGAGTTCCCTTTGGTCATGGCATTTGTCCTAACGGCAGAAAGGAATCTAGACTAGTATATATAGAACGGCTGGTAAATGTTACTAGTACTGAAGAAAACCTGATAGCTCCATGTCAACCTTATCTGTACAAATAGATTTGAATACCTCACAGGTAAACGACAGAACCCTCAGCTGTCGTCATCTGTTGTCACGGTGAGTAAATGCTTCAGGTTTTGTTGGCAAGAAGTCTCTATGATGGTTTCTGAGCTCTGTCACTGTAGCATAAAACCCTCATGGGCAATAGGCACAAAGATGAACATGACTGTTTCCAATAAAACTGTACCGACAGAAACAGCTTGCTGGATTTGGCCCACGCTGTCTGTATACCACCTCCTAGTTTAGATTATCAACCGCCCTCAGACCCCAGAGTTAGTGAGAAGCCTCTGTGCTTACTGGAGCTCTGGTCTCTGAAATAACCAAGAGTCACAGGGCGAGTATGGATGCATAAGAGGGATGGGTGATGTTTGATGATCCGTGGTGGGCTTGGAAGGGAAGAAGGGGGGTTCATGGGAACCAGGACAGTGTTCATGGGCAGAATACAACAAGCAGGAGGGGACAGGAGGGGGCAGCTAAGAAACCCCACAGCGCCCAAGCAAGAAGGCTTTCAACACTATGTGATGCAAAGGCAGCAAATATGTGGATCTTTCTTCCCACTTCCCACTCCTGGGTCAGACTCACAAACCCATCATGGACCCTCTGCCTCTAAGCAGGGTACAGTCTAGTATGCCTTTCTGCTCAGGACTCCAGAAACAGTGCTCAAGATGTCACCAACAGAGCTAATCCAACCCCTCATATGTGGAGAGAGACCCACTTTCTGGAGTAATTTTTGGCCAGTGGACACAGGCTTGGTGTTCCTTCCCTCCATCGGCCATTTTTAAAAGGCACGACTCCATCTTCTGCCCTCTGTGTTCCTTTAAGAGGATCCTTCAGGCACAATGCAGCCCTTTGCACAGTTAGGGAGAGACGCTGAGGCAAGGTGAGGGAGGAGTTTGCAAAACAGAGACTGTCTCTGAAGGAAAAGGCTGCCCAGACAGACAGGCGTGCGTCACAGGTCAAGGGCTGCATGTGCTGACGTGGTAAATGGCTTCTAAGGGACAGTCTGCGGATTCCCACGAGCAAAGGGAAGGGCTACGGCAAGGGCAGAGGCACAAGCTACAAACTGGAAAGAACACTCATACTTGGGCAAATCTGACATTCAGAGAGTGTGTCACCGAGTGATTAGAGAATCCACTTTGACAGCCTGGTCTTGACCTTCTTCTCCAGGGCTGAGAGGTCTGAGGATGCAAACAGCTGCAGGAAGAGGCCAGGAGGCAGCTTCCTCTATCAGGGTCCATGACACAGGTCTGTGCTCCAGCAAACCATCAGACCTTTTTTTTTTTTTTTAACTTCTTTCTACCTGCGCCATCAGGGCTTCACAGACTGTTCCCTAAGGCGCCAAGAACTGGGAGATGGAAGGAAATGGATCGGTCCACAGTGGACTGACTAGTCTTTTGGGTAGACAGACAACAAGACATAGGACCAGAGAAGTTTCTAGAAAGAGATGTGAGGATGTGGGCACTGATACCCTGCATGTACCTAAGTGACTTTTGAAGCAAAGATGTCCTAACGTAGAATATCTCCAGGGATACAATGGTTTCAAATGCTCTTTTACACAGGGGTCCTTATTTTATCGTTTCCAGGGAACAAACTCCAAAAGAATTCTTACCACGAAAATTGGGGTGATAAGGGCCATGGTGCCCAAGATGCCATTTGCCTGTGGAAAGAAAGAGAGAGAGAGAGATTCAGATGGGGCTCTATGGAAACATAGACTTTCCAAGAAGCTAATCACATACTAGGTTCCCATCAGCTTCACACTCCGTGAGGACAAAGAGAGCCTGCCAGTGCTGAGTTTTGCTCTCTGGGACTGCAAGGGATCCTCCAAGGAGACAGGAGGCAAGCAAGGACTGGATGACTCAGGACCACATGGGAAAGATGAGCTGGGGCTAGTCTATCTTCCCAGCAGCCCAGTGATGCTGCCCAGCTGGGCCTCTTCCTTCGCAAGGAGCACATGACTTGTGAGGTCCTGCGGAGCATCCTGCAAAGATGAAGACAGGTGCTGGTCCCCACCCCGCCTGGCCTCAGCATCTCTGGGCATTGTCCTCGGCGGTATGCAGAGGCCAGGGCACGGGCCACTTCCCCTAGTAGCTCTAGCACTGAGACACCTGCAGGGCAGCAAATGAGAAACTCGGCCACCTGCAGATCCTGCTCCACCAGCGCATCCGTTCTGAGGAAATAATTGGGTGATGTGGGGCAGAGCTCTGACGCTGTGGGAAACTCTGATCAGCTCGTTTGCTCTGTGGACGGGATCCCAGGAAACCATTGCCAAGGCAAGCCGGCCAGAGATGTAAAATCAATCCAAAGATCTAAACTGTGGCGACCTTTGACAACATGAAGGAAGGAAGGAAGCCAGCAAGCAGACACAGGCGTGTGACTAAGTAAACTGTTTGATGTGGCCTTAATAGAACACAGCCAAACTACCTTTTAAAGAAAACACGCAGAGCAAAAATTAACAGCCTGGGAATCAAGATGAGCATCTATATGAGTCCATGATCCCTGTCTCGCAACTGCAAACTGCTGTGTTTATTGAAGAAAGGCTCTTACTACGTAGCTCAGGCTGGCCTCAGGTTCCAGATCTCTTCTCTACCGCCATGCCCAGCTCTGTCCTGTGGATCTAAAAAAACAAGTTTTGTTTTGTTTCCAAGGCAAGGTTACTTCTTGTAGCCTTGGTTGTCCTGGCTCTCGCTCTGTAGACCAGATTGACCTCGATCTCACAGAGATCTGCCTGTCTCTATTGGGATTAAAGGCATGTACCACCACCAAAACCAAAACCCAGCTGAAAAGCAAGCTTTTTAAAGGAAAAAATTAAGGATAAGTGCAGTGGTGCAGACCTTTAGTGCCAGCACTCAAAAGACAGGGGCAGGTGGATCTCTGTGAGTTCCAGGTCAGTCTACACAGTGAATTCCAGGCCAGTCAGGACTACATAGTGAGACCTTGTGTCAGAAAAGAAAAGAAGAAGAAGAAGAAGAAGAAGAAGAAGAAGAAGAAGAAGAAGAAGAAGAAGAAGAAGAAAGAGAGAAAGAAAGA